AAATGTTCTTTGAATTCTTCAATATCCAAACCCAGTTTAATCAATTATGAGAGATTGATAGGCATTGCTCCATGAGACAAAACATCCTGATGGAGGCAAACTCACACATGTGGTGGTTCTCTGTAAAAGACTCCAATATCTTGGCAGCAGATACTGAAAAAATCACAAAAGACAACCAGACAACAACTTTGGACAGCACACAATTTGGACAAAGGGTGATGTTCTCAGCCTTCAGTAGCATAATTTTCTGTAAGTGCAGTCAGCTGTGCAGATCTATAGAAAGGGCATTAGCCAGAAAAGTTTACTTAGAATGTAAATTTTATCAAGAAGTGCACTCTTGAGTTGGAATACAAAACCAGTGCAGTCAAGTACAGAAAGCTGGAAGGCTAGAATTCTCTTCTCATGACAATTGATAATTACAGCTACAATTTATTTATTCAGCATATGGGAGAATTTAAACCTCCATTGACACAAATTCTGTGACATATGGCTTAAGATAGTCGAGTTTTAAAAATGGCAGGACCCTCGTTTTGTATTGGGCATCCAGTGGCACCTTTACTGAATTACAATTTTCAAACAATGTATCCAGTTACATTGTACAGACCAATTGATCAATGATCCTGACGAAAGAATTCCAACAGTTCTGCTGGCAGTTGAAAAAGAGGGACTTTGCCGAATGAACATAATGGTCAAAAGGCTAAGCCAGACCCTAGAGCACAGGTCATCCAAACAAGGTGGTGTAACTCTAAAACATTGGCAAGAAGGAAAGTGTTAAGATGCACAAGCACATCAATGAGATTCAGAGATAAACATACAAGAGGCAAAGTTCAGAAGATGGCTATGCTTTCCATAATGTTATCCTCAAAGGTAAAGTTGATTGTAAAAGGGGATCAGAAGCTTTTCAATCTGTTGGTATCATGTGAAAAGACAGGAAACACATAGTAAAAGATAAAATTGATATGGGAGCTCATGCTAACATGTTACCACTATTCATCCCGAAGGATATGTATCTCAACAAATGGCATTCAATGGTACAGCCAATGAGAGATCTTCTCACAGTGCATAATTGATCACCAATTCTGTACTTTGGCAGAATCTGACTACAGTGCCAATATGCAAACTCATCTTGACTTCCCAAAATCTTCTACCTGGTAGATGCCAACTGTCCAAGAGTGGCAGGACTAACAGTTTCCACAAAACTCAGTATAGACATAATTCATGAGCTTCAACCCACACCCGCACCAGTGGAGCAGAATCATACGTGATGCAATCGAATCAGTCAATAATCTCAAATACACATAGCCAGATATATTTCATGTGATTGGAAATTTTAAGGGTAATGGTGTATTGCATAGAAAGGATGATGCAACTCTATTTATACCTCCTCCAAAGAATTGCAATGTGATCATTCAGAGGAATCTTTGAGCAAAACTGAACAAGATGTATCAAAATGGTATGATTCAAAAATCAATCTACACAGATTGGGGTAGCTTCATTATGTGCATTTTAAAGAAAGATGACACCATAAAAGTGAGCTTTGATCGAAGATCCCACAACCATTTACTTAATAGGTGTCCACACAAAATCCTAACGTCAGGCGTCACTGTTTAACAATCTGGGATCACACATTTAAAACAGAGATGAAGCAGAATCTTTTCTTGCAAAGGGTGATGAGCATTTGGAACTCTCTTTCAGAAAAGGTGGTGGAAGCAGAGTTATTGAATAGTTTTAAAGCGAAGGTAGGTAGATTCTTGTTAAGCAATGGAGTGAAAGGTTATCAGAGAAAGGTGAGAATTCTGATATGAAGTTCCAATCTAATTCACCATCATCTTATTCAATTTGGAAACAGGCTCGATGAGCTGATTGGCCAACTTCTGTTTCTAAGTCGTACATTCATAAATCCTAAACTTTCAGAACAATTATTTTTCAAGCTAAATGTGAAGCATGGTCTTCATTTAGAAGAAGAATCCCAAGAGCACACAACATTTTGGATGCCAGTTGGACAGGGTTATTTCCAATGATTACTACTTGGACTTTCAGTTAGCCAAGACCTATTCTAATGGCACCTGGATTGGATTATTGAGAATGTACCTGGTTGTATTTGAGTAGCTGACAATATTGTGGCCATGCATATGACAAAGACAGAGCATGTCCACAATTCTCACGACTGGTGACAGCAGTGTGACAACAATACTTAATATTTAGCAGAATCAAGTGCCAGCTCAATACCAGCCAGATAAATTTCTTTGAGTCCAATTACTGCAACCATGGAGTTGGCCCTGATCCAGGAAAGATTGAGATTGTTAAACAAATGCTAACCCCATAAGTAAAAAGAATTCAGGACATTGCCTCAGATGTTAAATTTATCTAGCCATATATTCTAAACTTCATGGTTAAGGTCCCTATACTCAAGAATTCACTCAGAAGGGTCTCCTCTATCTGTGGCAAGATGACAACCAATACACCTTTGATTCTCTCAAACAACTTCTGTCAGTAAAGTCCTGCCAACTGCAATACTACAATCCCACAAAAGACATGATTCTAGGACGTGCATCACAAAAATGCTGAGGTGCTTGTCTTCTTCAAGAAAAAAAAACTGTTGCCTTTTGTTCTAAAGCAGTCATCTGCACAAGCCATGCATTCTGATATAGAGTGTGAGACATGAGCTCTGGTATTCAGCATCATGTAATTTCATATATGCTTATCCTGCAAGAAGTTCAACGTTGAAGCAGATCACAAGGCACTGGAAATTATTAAATCTATTATTAAATTTACAATTAAAACCCTATTACTACATACAACACCATGTTAACAAGGTTCTTGGATATGACTGAAGTCAGATATAAGTTATTTATCAGGATGATTGTATTTGACACACTGAACAAATTACCTAGCCTATAAAATGAACAAGATATTTCTCTTGACCTACACATTAATGTTCTTGACTGTGAAGTTGAAGACAATCTCAGGGTTGATCTGTTATACGTTGGCTACAGCCAGTGTGAATAGTTACAAGCGATAACTGCCGAAGATGAGCAATTACAAGACTTCCAATAGATCATTATCCAGAAATGGTCTGACAGTATTCAAGTTGTACCTGAGAAGATTTGTTCATTTTGGCTATATATAGACAAACATGAACATCACGACAAGTCAATCTCAAGGGCAAACAAGTCTGAACAAGGCATTACACTAAGATATCGTGTCTATGTTACAAAAGAGTACATAGGTATTGGATGTGCAAGACAGTTAGCACAGGAGACTGTGACTGGTCCAGGATGCATCAGGATATTCAATGACTCATGAATGCATGTGAGGCATGCTAAACACATCAACCTCAGCAGCAAAGGGCTTCTCCACATACATATGAAGTTCTATCCATTCCTTAGACAAAAGTACTACCAGCCCTGTTAAAAGAGCATGGGAATATTATATTTTTGCAATGGATTACTTCCTTAAATGTTCCATTGTTTGACAAGTTACCACATGGTGAGTGAGACTGTTGTTGAAATGATGAGCTCTGTTTTGACGAGAACATTGAAGAGTCGTCACTGGACCTGAAATGTTAACTTTGCTTTTTCTCCACAGATGCTGTCAGACCTGCTGAATTTTTCCAGTAATTTCTGTTGTCGTTTCAAATATAGATGGATGTTGTTTTTATAGACTTCTAGAAGGCATTTGATAAAATCTCAGATATATTGTTAACGAAGTTAGAATCTACAGAGTTGAGGGAAAATTACTCACAGAGCTGGGAAATTCCTTGAGTTATAGGGTACAGAAAATAGACATAGTGGGTAGGTACTAAAATTGGCACGATGTGACCAGTGGTGTCCCACAGGATTTTTGCATTAGGGCTTCAATTATTCACATTATTTATTAACCACTTAGATAATGGCGTAGAAAGTCATGCATCCACATTTGCAGATGACACAAAGTTAGGCAGCATTATAGACTGTATAGGTGATAGCATAAACTTACAAGGGGATATTGATAGTCTAAATGAATGGGTGAAACTGTGGCAAATGGAATTCAATGTTGGCAAATGTGAGGTTATCCATTCAAAAAGTACAAATCAGGCTACTTTCCGGATGGTTCTGGAAGTTAAATATAATGGATGTCCAAAGACACCTGGGGGGGTTCAGCTGCATAGATCTTTAAAATACCCTTAACAGGTGAAGTATGTAAGCAAGAAAGTGAATGGAATCTTGCACTTTATACGTGGAGGACTGAGGTACAAGGATGCAGAAGATATGCTGCAGTTATACGAAAAACCGGTTACATTCCACTGTGAGCAGATCTCTCACTATATCTTAGAAAGGATATATCAGTCCTACGGGAATGCAACATAGATTTATGAAAATGCAACATAGGACTTAAGGGTATGTTATAAGAAGAGTATACAAATTAGGCCGGTTTTCGTTAATTTTTAGAAAGTCATGGGGTGGTCTGATTGAAGTTTTCAAGATATTAACAGGAGAAGACAGGGTGGATAAACTATTTCCACTGGTTGGCAATTCTAGAACTAGGGGACATAGTCTGGGAATTAGGGCCAGACCATTCACGAGAGATATTAGAAAGCACATGAAGAGTAGTAGGTATTTGGAATTTTCTTCCACAAATGGCAGTGGATGTTGGATCAGTTGTTAATGTTAAATCTGAGAGAGATCTATTTTTGTTAAGCAAGGGTATTAAGGAATATGGGCCAAAGGCAGATACAATAATTTAGGCCACAGATCAATCATGATTTCATTCAATGATGGAACAGGTTTGAGTGGCTGAATGGCCTACTCTCGTTCCTATGTTACAGAAGATAACATAAGCATTGCCACATCAGGTAAATTACACTATTGGAGGCAATAGTTAGTCATGAGGTGGCCACATTTGTTCTGTACATAAAGAACTGAATGGGACTTGGGTAGTGCCTGCACAAAATCAAAGTCTTTAAAATAGGGAATTTTTTGAGCCAACAGGACAACTTAAAATACATTAAAAGCCTTAGACATGTGACAGAAAAACTTTAATAAGAGCCATACAAAATAAGGGAGAGACATCAAGCAAGGCAATGCCCCAAAGAGAACAACAGGTTCACAAAATCATTTGCAGCTTGACTGACAAAGTATTATTTTTAAAGAGGAACTGCAACATAGCATAAAGAACTTTTACATTCTTGACACATTTCACAATCATTCAAAGTTACTTATAATTTTACAGAACGGAAACAGACCAATTAATCCAGTTGTTCATGCTTCACATGATCCTCCTCCCACCTCACTTCATTACACCCTATCAATGTATACTTTTTAAAAATTTACTCATGCTAAATGTAGGTCCCTTTAAATTCATCCGCACCATCTTCCACAATCTTATGTGGCAATGGATTCTACATGCGTGCTATCTTCAACATAAAGAAGTTTGTCCTGAGTTTCTTATTGATTTATTCATGACTTTTATATTTTGGGCCTTAATTTTGAAAACTCCCATATCTTTCCCATTGAACCCCTTCACAATTTACAAATGATACATGTTGTATCATGTCATCTCTCAGGCTCAAACACTTTTGAAGTAATATTTTGGACAAAGAAACATATTGGTGTTGTGAGTAACTTCTTGATTTATTAGGTAAGATTGATCATACCAATGGTCCTCTGGCTCAATATACTACAAAGATTATACTCATGTTATGTGGATGTCAGGAGGTGTTCTGCCAAAACATGCAATTCTGTTCAATTGCCAAGGCCCCCAAAATTATTCAAAAAGAACTCCAACGGAAATAATGTGCTATCCATTGGTAAGAACAAAGGGAATTACAGTTGCTGTCTTCACTTCTGTACAGACAGTGGGAACATCTTGGAATGATTTTTTTTGAGCCAGACAGAAGATGTTTTTAATTGTGGTTGATTACTATTCTGGGTGGATGGAGGTAAAACGTCTACGTGGTCATATGCCCGAAGCTGTCATTGCACATTGAAAATCTTCTATATTTGGGATTCCAAACCTCATCATTTTAGGCAAGGCCCACACTTTCCTTGTGAATACTTCAAATACTTGTGAGCTTGCCCACAAGACTAACTCACTGAGATATTTACAAGCTCATAGTGAGGCCAGAAAGGGATTAAGATAAATTCTTTATTGAAAAAGAATGATGACATTAACCTGACACTACAAAGTTATGATTTTATAATGCTATGAGGTAGTCTGGCTCTATTTGAGTTTCCAAGGGGAAGGAAGCTGCACTCAATTTCTTACTCTTTTCATGTCCATTTATATGTGCTGTAAGATATATGCTTTAGATTGATAAGTACGATTTCACTCATACACAGAATTGTAATAATTGCCAGAGTACAAAATTTACAGATCTCCAGGCTGCAGAGTCAATGTGGACTCATGATCAAAATCATCAAGGACAAGTTCTTGAGAAAAACACTACATCTGGAGCACAATCTTGTGGAGACAGAAATTAGGATGGTGAGGAAAAACAGGAAAACATTAGTTTCCATCAGGAGGCAACCTTCCACACAGTTGACCAGTTATTCCGGAGACCTGGGAGATGGCACAAAAACTGAACTGGTATCATCTGACAATTCTTATTCTGCTCAACAGAGTTTGATAGAAAGTACCACAATGAAGGCCTTTTGAAAGCCCATGTAAATTGATAGGAAAAGGTCATTGTAATTGCTAGTGTTACTGAGAGAGGTAAAATTAAAGAGTTGATGTTTGGCATAGAATTTTAATTTAGAATCAAACAGCATCATAAGTCATTTTTAAACAAAAAATGGCAAATCCATCTTGTACTTTGGAAAATAATTAACTCATTGTTTATTTTCTTTGTTAGGGAAGTCACAGCTTGAGGGCATCCGTCTGCATCAAGAATAACATGATCATGATTTTTTTTCCTGTTCTTAACTAGTGCTAAGGGCCCGTTTTAAACATCAACAGGTTTAATTATCAACCAGAGATAGTAGGAACTGCAGATGCTGGAGAATCTGCGATAACAAGGTGTAGAGCTGGATGAACACAGGAGGCCAAGCAGCAGCACCAGGGGAAGCAGGAAGGCTGACGTTTCGGGCCTAGACCCGTAACCCTAACCCTATTATCAGCCAGTTTGACTAAGTCATGAATACTCCTTATATCGTGAACAAGCCCCGGAGCAGTACTTGAAGGGGAGCTTCCAAAACCCTTACTACGTATATCAACATTTGTTTCATTAAAGCTTCCTGTGTATACATTTGGAATGCAACTCTGTACTTAAGAGTCATATAGCATGGAAAACGACCTTTTGACCCAAAGGTTCTGGCCGATCAGCTTTCCTAAACTGAACGAGCTTCATTTGCTTGCATTTGGCCTATATCCCTCTAAACCTTCCAATTCATGTACCTGTCCAAATTAAACATCTGTGTAAACATTCTATTAAAAGGAAAATAAGTTTTGCTGCGATTAAACAATCAAATCACTCAAATGTTCTCTGAAAAACGATTGCCATATGTTCTCCGCTGCTGGATTGTTTATAAAGAAACTTATTTGTGACACACATTACAGTTGTAATACAGGCGAAATATATCGATCTTGCAATAAAATAGCCAACTGTGTCCCAAATTTTTATGGCTTTATCTTTGGTAGAAATGCCTTCAGTTGTCGAGAAGCTATCCGAATCCTAGAAATACCCTCCTATAGTTTATATATGTTACATTTTCCGTTTACGTGAAGGGATTTTTTTTGCATTAAAAGGTATCATATAACCTATTACGTGCACTACGTCCTTCCCGACACCCCAAAAGTTTTTTTTTCCGAATTAACTAGGCTTTGGTGTTTCATTGCAGTCCTGGTTGGTTTTTACTTCATCAGTTGCTCTCCACGGAATTTCTCATAAGTGCCAAGCGGTGTCCTGTGCAATCGCTGCAATTAGTTACTTGCCACATGGACCAAATACTCAACAAGAGCGGTGCCACGTTCTGCAAGAGGATGAGTGGGGATTTGTACCATTGTGTAGGAGGATGAGCCAAGCTCCAGGTGGACTTGATCGTATCGACAGTGTGCACTGCAAGAAAAAAAAGTGCAGCCCCAAGTAGCTCCTGTAACTGTGTTAGCCTCAGCAGCAGCTTCACAGACTGCTTCCCTCGCCTTGCACAAACAATTGACACGCGCTGGTTTTAGTGGCGTCAGCGCCGGCGAATAAACTGCAAGCTCCGCCCCCATGTCCCGCGGAATGCTGGGAGTTTCCAGCCAATGGCGGCACGATCCCTGCACTGACATCAGCGCGCGAGCCCGAGCTCGAGCCCGGAGCAGCCGCACGCGCTGCGCAGGCCGCGGGCAGAAGAAAAGCCTACAGCGGCGCCATCGCCACCATCTGCTCAAGTGACGGCTGCGCCACTTCCCGGTAAGGACAAGGGAGTTGTTGGCTACGGAGTCGGAGACAGACCGGGGCGGGCAGCTGGCATCGCCTCCCAAACGCGGAACTTTCCCTTTCCCTCTCCTCCACCCCCCCCCCCCAAAACCCCCCCCCCCCCCCCCCGCAGGCCTAAGTTTTTAACTGACCGCCTCGCCTCATCTCCTGCAAACCCGCAGAGGAAACCCTTTTTTTCCCCCTCTGACTCAGGGCTGAAACGGACAAGCCGGTTCGCGGCCAGAGCATCGAGCTCATTCTTGGCCGCAGCTCCAACCTCTCCAGTCAGTCAGTTTCTCTCTCTCTCTCTCTCTCTCTCTTTCTGCACCGTAACCGAGGCGCGACTCGGGAGAGACAGTGCCGGCCCGAAGAACAGCCAAACCCGCTGGCAAGAGCAGTTCCTGAGATAACAAGGTGTAGAGCTGGATGAACACAGCAGGCCAAGCAGCATCAGAGGAGCACGAAGGCGGACGTTTCGGGCCTAGACCCTTCTTCGGAAATAGTAGTTCCGCCCACTTCTCTTATTGGCTCGTCCAAATAAAACTGCCTTTGCTATTGGCTGACTAATGCGTCAGTTGCTGGGCAGACCGCTGCCTTACATTCGCAAGTTGCTCTGATCCAAAGGATAAAGTTGTCACTTAGACAGTTTGGAGTTGTGAACTGAGCAGCTTCGCAGATGCTCCCCTGCTATCTTGTTTTATTTTGTTGTCTGGAAAATACTTTAAGCTATAAGGTGATGCTTTTTACGCTTAGCAGTTTAAGTTCAACTTTCAGGGCGAGTTGACTTTACTACATTTGTGAACATACACGTTTAAGCATTGAAACAAAGGTGAGCAAAAGTGATCTTTCAGGTCTGTGGAAAATTATTGAAATGTTGACTGTTGGTTGAGTAATGAGATGCTTAACGAAACGTTATGAACTGATAATTTAATAGTTGAAATGAAACATCCTTGTGAATGATTTGCCGGAACGCCATTGAGCCATTCTTTTCAAAAACATTTCACAGCAGGTGGTAGAAATTTGAAGCTGTCTTCTGCAAATGGTAAATGATGCCAGATCAAATAATTGTAACATTGATTTTTTTTGCGAGATATGGCTTGTGCATGGAGTTAATTTGCAGAATAGCCAGATTGCATTGAAATGAAACAAGCTCAGGCACTAAAGACGCACTTGTGTTCTGTTATGTTCCTGTGTTTGTTTGAGCAGGTTTCTTGGTTTAAATGTACAGAATTTTACCAGATGGACAGTCTGCGCACATTTTATCATGTTTTCACGTGAAGATGTGGCACGATAATTTAAGAAAAGTCATTGTCCGTTCTTGAAAAGAAGCAGATTATGATCAGTTATTTGCCTCCGTGTGCTGTTTCTGTTGGAACATGAAATTAATTACTGCTTTCATACTGTGGAGTGTAATTACTCTATTAGAATAAATGAGCTTTATATCTCCAATTTGCATGGGGTTGGGGAGGTGGTTGATGTACCTCAACTGGTTGAACTAGCCAATAAGTTGTCACTCTGTCAACATGTACATCAATATCTCTCATAACTTGTTTTGAGCGTTTTGTTTATAGGCCATCATCAGTCCAGGGTTTTAATCATCTTGGTTATTTAAAATGAGATAATATTTTAAAACTTTGCTGTCAAATTTGACATTGATCTTTCTTTCAGTACTGTTTGTGAATTCTGCTGAATTTTTAACTGTTTTCTTAAATGCTGCATTGAATTGTTTTTGTTTTGACAATTATAGATCTGTAATGATTCACCTCTCAAAATTTCAGCAGGTTTGCAGTCTTAAAAGTAGATTTTCCAGTTTGTTGTCTTGGGCAAATTATACATGACAGTGATTAACTTGTCTATGAATTGTTATTAGTTTCCTAGGTTCCAGGATTTTATTAGTTATTCTCTCCTACATTTAAAGTAGATCTGCCAGAAGTGGCTAAAGTTTATACTGTAAATCATTCATTCGAGATACTTGTGCTAACTTGTAGCATCATATAACTGTGAATTGATATCCAGAATAATCTTAAAAGGACAATCATTCTTTGTATGAGAAATACTTCTGAACAACAATCTTGATCTTAATTTTAAACTACTTTGACATTGCTCTGAAGTTATGGTTTAATTTGGAGTTGAGGTCAAGTTAAATATTTCTATTTGTAGGAACAGGAGTAGGCAATTCACTCCTTGAAGTCTGTTCTGCCATTCAGGGAGATCATGGCTGATCTGTGACATAACTTCATACACTTGCTTTTGGCCCAAATCCCTTAATACCTTTGCTTAACAAAAATTATTTCCATGATTTAAAACTAATAACTTATCTGGTAGCAACTGCTGTTCGTGGCAGTGTGTTCCAAACCCGTGTATAGAAGTGCATCCTTACATCTATGCTGAATGGTCTGGCGCTAACTACTGTGCTCCTAGTCCTAGAATCTCCAACCACTAGAAATAGTTTATCTTTATCTACCCTGTCTTATTAACCCTATCCTGGTAATATCTTGAAAATTTCTCTTCATATTTTGAAGTCTCTAGGTTATCTGTATTGTTACATGTTGTTAATGGCTGAAGAGTTCTCTTTCCGAGGCTTTCCTTGTAATCCACCCGTGAGATGAATCGTAGAATTTTACAGAAGGAAGCCATTGGCCAATCATGCCTGCACTGGCTTCCAAAAGAGCTACCCAGCTAGTCTCATTCTCAAACCCTATCTTGGTAGCCCTCTAAATTAATCATAGGCCATTGTTTGCCTGGAACTGGTTGCCTAGGAGGATGAAAGTGTATTTGATCAATAATTTGAGACATTAGTTAGATGGGCATTTGAGGAAACCGAACTTGCAGTTCTGTTATGCAGAGCATAAGGTGACGTAGTGGACTGAATCAATTGCAGTACAGCGAGCTGTGTTGTGAATTGAATAAACTCCTACTATGCTGCAGTGACTGTAATGGTTTTAATTTAAGGAGGTATTTTGTTGTAAACTGCTTCTAGAGCTTAGTTGTTTGTCAATAGCCAAAGCAAAAACTAAGTTTAAGTTGCCACCCTTTAGCTTTATGATCTCAGACCTGTACTGTCTTGATTTGTCAAGTTCACTCAGTATTCTAATATAAAGGCAAAATATCACGCACATTGGGAAATTGAAATCAAGATTGAAAATGCTGAAAATACTGATCAGGTCAGGCATTGTCTGCGGAGAGATAGACCAAATTGATAGCTTTTTTGTGTCAATGTATGCAGTCATTCCAACCAGGAAAATGCCATCAGTCAGTGTTGAAAGTGCATTATTATGCTGCTCCAGGGGGTTCACTCTTGAGCTTTGATGTTAATATTAAAAGGAGACAAATGATGTTGATGGAAAGTTGGGTTAATTGCTCACTTTGCACTAACTTTTCTTGCCAGTACGTTTGAGACCAGTGATTCCAAGTGGAAAGGGTTTCCTCTTAGTTCACAAATATTTCATGAGGATAATGATACCAGAGGGATAACTTCAAAAGTCAGAATGGTTATGGCAGCAATTCAGAATATTAGCTGCTTAAATGATTCCACTTGTGATTTAATTTTTTGCTTGAAAAAATTTTCAATAATTTTCGATCACTGAAAATTTTTTGTTGAAGCTCACTGTTATTTTACATAATTCTATGCCAATTTATAGAAAATTCTGTTTGCAAACATGTATGTATTCTCTGAGCAGCGAGTTGTCGATACTCCTAAGATTCCAAAATCCAAGCTGATGGTTCAGATGGATGACCTTTCATTTGAACTGGAAAATATTTGTATTATAAACATGCAAATATCGGGAAAGTCTTCTTGCCTACCAACCAATCATAGATCTTTTCCTTTGTTCTGTTTTCCCCCACCCCTACTCCTTACCTTATATCTGTATTTGATTATATTTGATGTATCTCTAATTTTTTCCAGTTGCGATGAAAGGTCATCAACCTGAAATGTTAACTGTTTCTGTGACCACAGATGCGGTCTGAAGTGCTGAGTACTTCCAGCTTTTTCTGTTTTTGTTTTTCACATTATTCACCTTGCTCTGTTGATTGTAGGTTTGCAGAAATAATTTATGGTCAGTATTAAATCTACCATCATTCTCTGAACTCTTTTGATTTATCCTCCACTTTCGTTGGCATCTCTTTCATTTATCTTAAAAATACATTGATAGGCCTAAATGTAGTATTTATTTAATGTGCATTGCCCACCTGCACATATTGCCTCAGTTTTTCTCTGGATCTTCTTTTCTGGGTTCGTCGGATAATACTGTTTGCTACCTTCCACAATTTACTGCCTGCAAACTTGATGACTTTCCAGTATCTCTGAGCTCAATTGGCAGTGAAGATCAGAAACATGAGGACCTTGGCCCTGTCCCCAGTCATCCATGGGACATCCATCCAATGTATCTCAACTTGATGTCATATTCTTAACTAGTGCTCCCTCTTTTGCCCTGCTAAATTCTAACCTCTGTTTACAAAAAGTATTTGCTGCCTTCAGTTTTGTTGTAGCAATCTTCTTTATGTACTGTTATCAAAAGCTTTTTTACAGGTCCAGGTTACAACATTGAGACTTCTCACACCCACTTCGAATTTCGCTGGTTTTGTCAGGTACAATCTGGATCTTCTAAAACCACAATGGCTGCCACCTTTGTTTATTTTGGATGAGGAAACTTGAATTTGTTTTTAATCAGTTCTTTATTTGCCTGTTTCTGATGTGTAAGTGCACACAGATGGTTTCAATTGCATTTTATCCATTGATTTTCAGAATGGGTTTTAGGTGACCGTCATTATGTTGATTTCATTATTATTCTCAGTTGGCACCCTCCGGTATGTCATATTTATTCTTGTTTACTGTTTTTAGTCTATTTTTTGAAATTAATATATTCAGATTTAGTTGTGAAACCTGCTGGTTGTCATGCTACTAGAATTTTATCTTAAACATAGTTTCAGGGAGCATTAATTTAATAAGCTACCAATTTTTAAGTCCTTTTTTGTTTTATCACCAACTGGATTCTCTAAAAGCCTTATTTTTTTACTGTGTTAACATTGGAATAATTTCTTACTGTTGTTTGGATTCTAAAGCTGAATCTTTGTGGGCGTTTTTCAGAGACTGGGACATCATTTTTTTGTTTTGCATATGTTTCAACATTTGCAAATTATCTTCACTTGAACGTTTATTACCCCAGAATTAGTTAAAAAGAAGTTCAAATAGAAAAACTAGAATTGAGCATTTGTATCTGAAGTGTCTAATAAATGTGTATGAATGTTTTAAGTAAGGATAGATTTTCAGAAATTCTGTAATTGTAACTAATTAGGGTTTCAAAAATACACAATATATTAATGAGATAGTAGGAACTGCCGATGCTGGAGTACCTGAGATAACAAGGTGTAGAGCTGGATGAACACAGCAGGCCAAGCAGCATCAGAGGAGCAGTAAAGCTGACGTTTCGGGTCTAGACCCTTCTTCAGATCTAGACCCGAAACGTCAGCTTTCCTGCTGCT